TAGGAACTATGGAGCTCATCTGGCTAAATGTTTAATTTTTCATAGTCCTAATATTTACACGCCAAGAGTGAAGGAAACCTTTTCTTTACTGTTTCCAAACCTAACATAACTCCTTCCACAGCAAAGGCTTGGTGACAGTCTTTTCTGAATGTTGAGCTTCAAAAAATAAAGCTTTTTGGACAAACACAACTCCAGTCGTCAGCTGTGTCTCACAGCTGCAACATGTAGCGCTAAGATTTACTACATGCATAACAAGTGACTGAAGTGTGTCAACTCATTCCTATATTAAAATAAAAGGAAATTCATTCAAACTTTGTGTCTGCAAATGAATGTTCAAGAATGATAACTAAATTGGTTTACTGCAAATAATTTGGGCTTTCAACTGAACACATTTGTAGCACTAGAAAGGCCACCAGTAGACTGAAACCTGCCCCCAAACATGAAAGGACATATTCATTTAATCCTGCGTCTCTGTGTGCGAGGGTCAACTCATTATTTCTCATGAACCAGTGGATGGATTTCACTGAATTTCTCAGAAAGTACCCATTAAGTAATTAACGTTTGTTGTAAATCCCATTCAAATTGTCAGCTGCAACTAAACAACATTAGCCAACACAAAAATCTTTATCTCAGCCAGTTTTACAGATATTAAGCTACAATTTAAAGTGGCTGAGAGCAATTCTCAATATATACAGGTGATACCTGGGATTTTTACTCATTATTTGTCTTTTTTTCCTCTTTTGTTTGAACTGATCAAAGGATCGAATGAATATATATTTATTAGAATGCAGAATTTTCTCTCTCCCGGTTCTCTCCTCTGGTCCGCTCTGGGGGGTGGGCAAGCAGTTTTTCCTGTGGTGGCGCCCCTGAGGGCTCCGTGTTTGGGATCCCTCTTGGGGCCTTTGGCTCTGATCTCCCTTATGTCTGCCTCGAGTCTTGGAGGTCGGGTCTGTGGATCTTCCACAGTCACTATTAAACATTCCAATGGAGAAACCTTACATGCATGCTCACAACCGCACACAAACAGGTGTTCAGATCCAGGTGTTTCTTAGACACATTCTACGTTGGGACTGCGTTGGCCAACAAATGTGTATGTGTATGTACAGGGGTTAGACAATGAAACTGAAACACCTGGTTTTAGACCATATCATCCCTTTCAGACAGCTTCCTCTTGCGTCCACAATTAATCCTGTTGGATGTGGTTGGTTCTTGGTGGTATGCTGACATTACCCTGGATACTGTGGCTCTTGATACATCACAAAGACTTGCTGTCTTGGTCACAGATGCGCCAGCAAGATGTGCATCAACAATTTGTCCTCTTTTGAACTCTGTATGTCACCCATAACGTTGTGTGCATTGCAATATTTTGAGTAAAATTGTGCTCTTGCCCTGCTAACTGAACCTTCACACTCTGCTCTTACTGGTGCAATGTGCAATTAATGAAGATTGACCACCAGGCTGGTCCAATTTAGCCATGAAACCTCCCACACTAAAATGACAGCTCTTTCAGTTTCATTGTCTAACCCCTGTATGTATGTATGTATGTATGCATGCATGCATGTATAATATTATGATATTCGACTCATAAAATTTACTGAGTACTTTTCAGTGAGGCTATAATTATTATTATTGTTATGTACACATACATGTTGTTGCTGTGTTTTTGTATTTTCTCTTGTTGCAGGTGTGGAGGCAGACTACAAATGTGTTGTCTTGTGTTTCCTTAATGCATCTCTCTCATATCTTCTCGTTTCCCTTTTAATCTCTTTCTTCACTTTTCTCCTTTTTCTCTTCTTTGTTTACTATTTCCGTCCCCATGTCCGTTATAACGAATTAATCCCTAAAGAAATAAATTTATAATAAACGTTTAAATACATATCAAGTGGAGCTTCATGGTGAAATGCCATTATGCTGCACTTGTGAAAGTAAAACTGTTGGGCTTCTTTTGGACACTCAGACATCAATTTTGAGTTTCACATTGCTGGACAGGACACAGTAAAAAAAAAATCATGTTTTAAACTAATTATGGTTCTGAATGTAAAACTATAGCAGACTGCATTAACTATTAAAACAACCGAAGGGCAGTTTCACTGTTTTAAATGAAAAGTACTTGCCTGTTTCATTCTCAGTACTGACAGTGGGAAAGTTTGGAAACCACAGATTAACTGCTGTAATGCCATTTGATGCCATGGGAAATTCTAAACTGTGGATGAAAAACATTTTGCAAATGAAAATGATTTTTAAAAAACATCCTGTTCTTCATCATATAATTTATAACAGCTGGGGCCAAACAAACATCCATGTACAGTGTATCGTGTTTTTTACATTTACCTCTGTTTACACGAGCTGTCACAGGACGTTGGTGGACATGAAACACGTCTGCTGCAGCATCTTTTACACATTTTCTCTAGAGTTTACAAACAAAATATGGACATTGCAAAATAGAATTGTACATATTTGTTATGTTATTCATTCTCTTGTGGATGAAAATCAAAAGTTCATACCATTGATATTCTGCGCAGGTGAACCATAGGTGGTGATTTTCATTTCAAGGCATGTGTTGATGTCTTTGGACCGTGAACAACTCAGTGTATATTTATATCCATACCGATACTTCCAACAATTGAGATGCAAAAGCTTCTTGTTGTCCATTGTAAAGATCCACGCTCCAGGACAATCCTTAAGGGTAATATTGAATCCTTCATGTGAGGATGTTGCTGGAAAGAAGAGCAGCTGGATGCTAGCTAAAAAACACAAATATCATATAAGGTGTGCAATTTTCCTTTTTTAATAACAAATTTAATAAATTAAAAAAGCAATGTGCGACAAAGCTGTGTGACCAAATAAATGAATGATGCATGTACAAAATAAAACTGAAGTCTAATATTTTAAAACAGTTTTGTCTTTATAAAAACTAACAAATTGTTGCTGCTGAGCAAAGCCTTGTACCTTTTCATCATTTTTATGTTTTTACATAAAACAGCTTTAAATGTCCTTCTGTCTATCTGCCTGTTTTTATGGGTGGCTGACCAACCAAGCTTGTTCTGGTGGGTTTTTTAATTTCTTGACAATTCTGGAGATGCAAGGTTTTTGCTCGACAGCAATAGGATAAAGAAAAATAGAAAAATTAAGGATATATTTTTAAAGGTTTTCAATCAATTGAAGAACCAATTATTGTGTAAAACGAACCCAGCAACAGTGGCAGATGAGTCATGTGTGCCATGGTCTGAGAGAGAGAGAGAGAGAGAGAGAGAGAGAGAGAGAGAGAGAGAGAGAATTTAGACAAACAAACTCAGATCTGTGACTGGAAAGGTTTGTGAGTAATTCTGTGCATTATTGCTTTAAATTTAACACAATGAAGAATAACAATAAAGGCATTCAGATCCTCGCACCAAAACCATAATTCTTTTTCTTTGATAGAAAAGTTAAAACTTTTCAATCACCTAATTAGTTTCAAATACTAATGCTTTATAGTACATAGTTAATTACTTACCCAGCTGAAGAGTTGCTGTCAGTGTCTGAAATGGGAAGCAAGTAGTAGTCAGGAGTGTGGACTTGATGAAGCTGTATACCTCCTCTTTTTCTCTGAGTAAACACACCCACAACTGAGAGCACCCATTTGTTTTACACAAATTAGGCTCAAAGAGGCTGTGTGTATAAAACTGATGACTAAAGTTCATTCAAAGCTCTAGTTACCAGCTGAAGTAATACTTTATGATGATGAAGGAATTTTTGTAACTGATTAATTGAATGTTAGATGCAGTATTTTATTTTATACTTTCTGATCATTTCAGCCTTTAAGGTTAAAGCAGAGAAAGAGTTGGTGTGTGTTATCACGTGTTCTTTCTTTAGTCTAAACAAAAATGAGTGATGTCTGACAAAACACTTCCTGGCGTGTAACCAGGAGATGAACACTATAAAGTCAGTTCATTATTATAGAAGAAATAAGTTGTCAGTGTGTTGCAGAGTCTCTGCTCAGAGCAGGGCAGCTGTGTTTTGTTTTGGTTGAGCTTAAGGTCTTGAGGTCTGTGTGCTGTACTGTGAACCTGATTGGAGTCAGAAGATTGAGAATAAAGTTTTAAGAAGAAATCCAGTTGGATTCCTGTTTATTTGGACATCCCATTTTGAACAATGCATATTTTTCTACAATTTGTTGACCCTGACCATGATGGATAATCTTGAATAAGTAAAGAACATTGGATTTTATTTTTGGCTGTTGAAGAACCTGAGAAGATTTTTGAAACATCATCTGCTGAGAGTGAGTACAGAAAAGCTTCATGATGCCTCCTTACTTTTCCAAAGAGGATTTCTGCCAGCTTCTCCAAAAGGTGACGGTGTTGGAGCTCAAGATTCATCGTCTGGAAGAGATGAATGCTTTGGAGGACTCAACATGTGTTCAAATGGGTAAGAAGGAGAGGAGAGATCCACATGGAGAGGAGATGGAAGCTGTTTCTGAGAATAAAACTGTATGGAACTCTCTTTGTGCCAGACCAAAAAATCTCTCAGGAAGGATTCAGCTCTTAGATGACAAAGAACGGCCAGAATTACAGAGAAATGTTTTTTTCTACATCAGCAAGGAGAATAAAAGCAGCAACAGGCTGGTCATGGAAATCTTTATTTACCATAGAAACACATGATCCAAGAATAAAAAATACTCCGTGAAATGGCCAACAGGATTTATTGCAATTGCAAGACACACATCAGGTCACACAGGGCAGTGGTACATGGAATGTGTGCCCTGGCAGTTTCAAATGCACGCATTTATACAGAATGTTATACAAACAGACAAACATCTCTCTTGGTGCCGAAACTGGACCAAGGAGAGAATGATGTTTGATAAACTGCAACAAGAATGATTACACCTAAACAGATATTGTCCTGGTTGTGAAACACTTTATCTGAGAGAAAACAGAAAACAAAGAGTAAAATCATAGAACATGATGACATTTTAAGTAAGCGAAAGAGGTCACTGACACTTGACCTGAGAAGTATGCGAGACTTAAAGGATAAATTATTTTTACAAGACAAATTGCTTTTTGGAAAATTTCTGTGCTGACCACTCTGTGAGATACGTGGATAACTTTAATCTCTTTTGGGAGAGACGACATCTGTTCAAGTCTAATGGACTGACTTTGAATTGAGCTGGAGCTGAGCTCTTAGTTTCAAACATGAAGTATTTCCTGAAACAAGTTCTGTCTGGAAACAACAGAAAACAACAGCAATGTGATCAGCTGACGTCTGAGGCTGAAGGACAACAGGAGCAAACTGAGACATAGTTGGAACAAAGTGGGTAAGAAGACTGCTGCAGAACCAGAACCACAGAGAGAGGAGTTACTTGAAGCTGCTGAACCAGAAGAACATCTGGATTCATCAACATCACAGAGGAATGAGAAAATGGGTTCCCCCAACCTACAACTGGGCACTTCTTTTTCTCCATCAGAGGAAACAAAACCATCAACTGAGAACAGAGATTAGTGTGGTGACCACATTTAAGGGCCTGGTCAACGGTTGACCATATTTTGAGCTGATAAAATTCAAAGAAGGGATTGTTTAACCAAACTGAAACTGATTGAGCCACCTCTACCATTGGGTTGAAGTATGTAATGCTAAAACATCCACCAGAGGGCACTGTGACAGTAAATGGTTAATTTGTCTTTCCCTCCTCCAACCAGGAAGTCAAGAACAAGGATCAAACATCATGACAGTTTTTGGAAAAACTTTAAAAGAAATTTATACTTTTTTATTTTTACATATTTTGGTAATAAAGGCCTTAAAACAGAATTATGACCCTTGATGCGCTCAAAACCTCTGAATATATATTTTTAAATTTTTTTGAAAATGTGCTCTTGATTTGTCAATTCATGGTATAGGTAGAAAATTTAAACTCATCTAATTAAGTATGATTACTTCCCATAAAATAAACTTATCCAAACCCTCTAGTTTATTTATTTATTTGAATACAACTCATTAAATGTTATTTTATTGTGAATATGCTGAAGGTGTTTTCCTACCCTTTACTATTGTTGATTTTGGTTACTATGAGTGAAATCCAGAAAAAATCATGTAGAAATCACAATATACCCAATAACCCTAATGAAATAACACAAGTTGGTGTACTTATATCGCTATATTTTGTCAAGAAAATTCATCTGGAATTTTTATTATGATTTGCCACTGTCCCAATGGGTCAGTGGCAAAAAAGGGCTACTTCTCGGAGCTAAATTGGTGAAATTATTCAAAACCATAAAAAAAACCTTTAGCTGTCTGTTGTCGTTTGTGATTACAAGTTTCATCTTGGTCCAGAACTTGCATACATCTTTGGGTGTTAAGTGCATTGGTATCGTATGATCAAAACTACACTGGTGAACATCCTTTGATGGCAGACTTTGAACTAATGAAAAAAGGGCCATGGAGCCTAAGATAACAGGTCTGCTGAAGGGGTAATTGCAGTAAAATGGATGAATGACAAATATGTCAACCCTCTGAGCAATGCCTGTCAAGTGGTGGATCACAGAGTCTAGTGTAAATATGCTATCCCATGGCCATCACTTACCTCTGCATACAATGAGCATATGCTGTTTCAGATATGCTGGTACACCTGTACAAGACCCTAGCTAACTCCAGGAGATCATATTCAGGGGTGTCAAACTCCAGTCCTCGAGGGCCACTATCCTGTATGTAGAGGTTTTCCAGCTCAAACACACCTGATTCAGTGATTGAATCAACTCTTCAAATTGGGCAAAAGCCTGTTAATCACCCAGTGATCAAAATCAGGTGTGTTGGAACAGGAAAACCTCTAAAACATGCAGGATAGCGGCCCTCGAGGACTGGAGTTTGACACCCCATTTTTAGAGGTTTCCCTGCTTTGAAACACCTGCTTCAGGTGACTGCAGTTCATCAAAAGCCTGCTAATTAGTTACCAACTGAAATCAGCTGTGTCAAATCAGGGAAACATCTAAAACATGTAGGGC